AGAGAGAGAGAGAGAGAGAGAGAGAGAGAGAGAGAGAGAGAGAGAGGTTCTACGCGTTGTGTGTGTGTGTGTGTGTGTGTGTGTGAGAGAGAGAGAGAGAGAGAGAGAGAGAGAGAGAGAGAGAGAGAGAGAGAGAGAGAGAGAGGTTCTACGCGTTTTTTCGGCGGAAGAAAGCACGAGCACGGACAGTGTGTGCGTTTGTGCGTTTGTCCGTTTGTAATTGGGTGCGTGGGTGCGTGGGTTTGCGTCTGTGTGTGTGTGTGTGTGTGTGAGGGAGAGAGAGAGAGAGAGAGAGAGAGAGAGAGAGAGAGAGAGAGAGAGAGAGAGAGAGAGAGAGAGAGAGAGAGGTGGCCAAATGTGGAAAACGGCGACTGAGAAGTCTTTTCTGTTGAATTGGGAGGACTACGGTCACCTGTTTTCCCATTTGCCGAGTAGTGCAGCGAGGCCCAGAGTGTTCTTCTGTCTGACCGATTTGCTCTGAGTGCGTTGGTTTTATTTTATTTGCGTGCGAGTGCGATCTTCGAGAGCAGCAGCTGTCGTCTCACAGCCAGCCATTTGATGGGGATGTGGGCGGCGACACGTATGCTTTTTTTTTTTTTTTTTTTTTTTTCTTTCTGGTTCTGAATGCTTGGCGAAACAGACACTGCTACTGTCTTTCCCCGAACATAACGCACCCTAAAATGAATGTATACAAGCTATATTTCCGGCCAGATACAGCCAAAGTGAGGGTGCGTTGTGTTCGGGGGAAGACTGTAGTCGCAATGGAGGAGTTTGCTTTTACCATTTTTGTTTTTGTTTTTGTTTTCGTTTTGGTTCGTTTTTTTTTTCTTTTTGGTTCGTTTTTTTTTTTTTCTTCTGGGAAGGGAGGATCAGTTAAGGTTCAAAATAATTAAAAGTTTGTTAAATCAACTTAAATGTTATTATTAAAAATTGTTATTGCTTCATAAGGACCTGTTTTCGGTGAAAAAAAAGAAGAAGTTATTGATTGCAATAATGCAATTTGTATATTCAGTTCACGGGTTTGATGATAATCATTGAAAAAATAAAGGCGAAATGATTAATGGGCCTCGCTCCTCTACTGACACCACTTGCACGAAAAGCAAACAAATATGGCGGTGTATCTGGCCATGTTCTAGCGGAAGATTCATTCTCCTTTTGCACATTTGGTGAGTAGTGGAGCGAGGCCCTATATATGTACCCAAAAGAACTTGTAAAAAAAAAAAAAAAAAAGAAGAAGAAGAAAGAGAAAAGAAAAGAGAGACTTGTCCATTTTCTCTCATGTGTGAAAAATAGATTCCATTCAGCAGTATAAAATTAAAAATTTAATTTATTATTATTTAATATGGTAATCTTGCAACGAAAGTCCCACAGAACAATCACAGCCGTTAAAATGGGAAGGCTGGATAGAGAGAATTCCGAGAATATTAATTAATTTACATTAATTAACCGTTAAAAAGGGAACATTAGAAACATCGAACTGGCAGAGGATTCATTAATTAATTAATAATCAGTTAATTAATTTGCATCACGATGACCCCTCTGTATTCGAGGATGACACGTGCGCGCCACTCGAGAAAGGTGTGAATTTTACTCGTTTTTTAAATTTCGCCCGCTACAAAATAAAATAAAATTCGCGGCTCTCTCCAGCCAGTTGTAAAGGATCGCCTCAGCCGGAAGTCCCACGTGGACGTGTTCTAACAAAAGGTGCATAACTGGACTGAGAAGAAAAAAGGAGGAGGAAGAGGGGGGGTGTGTGTGGGGGGGTTGAAGGCAGATGATGAGGGTGTTAAGTGTGGGCAACTGGATGAAGCATGGCCAGCACACTGGCCCTCCGGTTTTTTTT